ACATTTCCATGGGACACCTGAAATTTCGAACTAAAAAAATAAAACATTAAAAAACAGCCCAAAGAAAACAAAAAACAACAAAATGCTCGAGAAAAGAACCAGGAACAGGAGTCTAGCTCGTGGATTCCAACAGCCCTGCAAGGTCGTCGGCGGGGAGACTGCTATATATTGAGCTACAGACGCCAATGGGGATCAGTAGCTTAAATCTTACGCTAGTGCAACCATGAGAGTTCTGGTTAGCTATGTGGATTTTAAAGATTTTGGTTTCATATAATTGATACATATATGTACGCGCACAGATGGACATATATTAATGTATACATGTATACATTCTTATATATTCATATGTGTGTCTGTATATATAAAACCAACTATATATATACATCCATACAAATGCACATGACAAATATATTTATATGTGTATAAATATGCATATGTATATGTATATACATTGATATGCATATCTGTTTATATATACATACATATACATGCGTGTATGTATAAAATCCAAGAACTTTTACTTCAATCACATCATTCACTTTTACAGATTGTCATCGCTTTGGGTCTGGTCGCCCTGGCCGCCGCCCGACCCTCCGACATCATCGACTTCGAGGAGGACCACATGGAGCACGAGCAGGAGGGCATCCCTGGAACGGCCGTGGAGGGCGAGTACTCGTGGGTAGCGCCCGACGGCAACGAATACGTCATCAAGTACGTCGCCGACCGCTTCGGTTACCGAGTGGTCGAGGACAACGTTCTGCCAGAGTTCCGTGACGCCAAACCCGACGGTGAAATGGCCGAGGACGACGACGACGACGACGACGACGCTGAATTCCGTGCTGATGATGACGAGGAGGACGATGACTAAACGAAATATAATGTTAAATATATTGCGAAGTTACTTTTATGTAAAAGAAAGAAATAATAAACTACTTTTCTTTATTCTAGAACTTGAATACCACATAGCTTGGAGTGTATCACCTACTATTGCTGATTTGTACTATGATAATCATAATGATAATCACATGATAATGAAAAAAAAAATCCGTTAATATTGACTAATATCCTAACCATACTAACAGCAGCAAAATTAATATAGGAAAATGGCTTGACATAATATAAATTAGAAATAAGTAAAATACTGCAAACCACCATTCTTAATATATAACAAACTTCACTGTACTGTACCTTTATTCAGACTAACCTACTCTGAAACATAGACATTTCCGGTCCTCACCACCCCTAATCGACCTTATACGTTTACACTTTATCATAGATTTACTTTTGACCCCTGACATCTGCTCATAGGTATCTATATCAACCACATTATATCATCTACATCATCACTGATACCTTCTCATCAAGATTTACATCTACCTCAACATCTACTCACATCACATCGACCTCAATATCTACTCATCATGATCTACATAAACTCCAGTATCTGCTGATGTCAACTACATTTACCTCAATATCTTGCATCATCTTCATCGATCTCAATGTCTCATCTGCCCTAGATTTCCAACAAAACTGTTCGCTGGTAATAATAATAATAATAATGATAATAATGACACACATTCACATTTATTTGAACTGATATCAGCTTGAGAGAAAGGTACGATGGATTGGACATCCTAGGTCTTTGAGTTATATACAAATTCAGTCTGAGTCGTGATGAAAGCGATTGGACTACCCTGTTCTAGCCTCATCAACATCAGTGAATAAATGAAACAATCAAATCAGCAAACAGCGGTATTATACAGCAAGATGATAAAGTTTATGAGAAATAGTTATATCAACATATATTAGAATACATGCTTATCTGTATCAGGAAGAAGGAAATAGAAATGTGAATAGGATTTTTCACGCTGAAGACAGCAGTCAAACAAACATTAATAGCAATCATTATTCACGTGCATGAGAAAGGAAAAGCTATATGCCAAAAAGTTGCAGAATGTCATTCATTATAAACGAGAAGGCAGATTACATATGAATAAAATCCTGAAAAAATGAGATTCATGAACAACACAAAAATAAGGAGAACCGTGAGCATCTAATATGTCCTCGCCATAAGGTCGCGTCGACGAGGTATATACTGCGAAAGCAACTGGCAAGCATCAGAATCACCCGAATCTCGCAAGCATGAAGCTTTTGGCGAGTTTCCGCTGTAATGAGTGTCCATTGACGTATTTGATGCTCAGATTTACGCTGTATACTTCTACAGAGATGCTATTGCATACATCATTATAGTAAAAAGTTTACTTTTAGGAATTCATGAAAGTGGCAATAACTGTGAAAACCATAATATACATGTTGCAGATTCTCTTCGTTTTTAGTCTGGATATCCAGGCTAAAGGCATGTAGTTTTTTTTTTTTTTATTTTTTTTTATATAAAGCAAAGGGAGGTTCAACAATGCAAATTTTACAGGATCTCTTTGCTTAGGTTCTGGTCGCCCTGGCAGCCGCCCGACCTTTTGACATCATCGACTTCGAGGAGGACCACATGGAGCACGAGCAGGAGGGCGTCCCAGGAACGGCCGTGGAGGGCGAGTACTCGTGGGTAGCGCCCGACGGGAACGAGTACCACGTCAAGTACGTCGCCGACCACTTCGGTTACCGCATCGTCGACGACAACGTTGTGCCTAGCGTCGACAGCGACGTGTCGGAAGCTGTGGATGATACTGACTAGATGTGAAATTTAAAAGCTTTGTAAAAAAAAAAGAAAAAAAAAAATGTCCGACGTAATTTTCTAAATAAAAGTTAACAATACATTGTAGTTAATTTACATTTCTTTTGAATAGATTAAGAGATTATTATTTTAGAAATGAAACAAACAAATATATATCCATATATATGCATATACCTACATAAATATGTATATTCATATATATATGTATATTCATATATATATATATATATATATATATATATATATATATTATATATATATATATATATATATATATATATGTGTGTGTGTGTGTGTGTGTGTGTGTGTGTGTGTGTGTGTGTAAATATATATATATATATATATATATATATATATATATATATATATATATATATATATATATATATTGTATACATACGTACATACATGCATACATACACATATATGTATGTATATCTATCTATCTATCTATATCTATATCTATCTATCTATCTATCTATATCTATATCTATCTATCTATCTATCTATCTATCTATCTATCTATCTATCTATCTATATATATATATATATATATATATATATATATATATATATATATAATATCATCAGTCGTATGTCACACACACATGAGTATATATATATTTGTATGTATGTGTATATATATACACGCACACACATGTATATGTGTGTATACATGTATTTGTGTGTGATCAAATATATACACCCTCGCATGGCACACCGCGAGCACACACACACACAAAGTATGTATTTAAATGTTAACATCTGTGTTATCATGTGAATAGTTCGACCTTCTGCCATGAGGAGCAGAGTTTCAGTTCCTGTTTGTTGCTCTAACGTCATTTTAAAGAATATTCTAAGTTCACCTTTGTCTTTCGCAAATTTCATTTATGATAACATTTGACTATGTTTATTTCTAATTTCATTTAGATGTACAATCATGATTGTCAATTTAAGTGTTGGTGTGACTCAGCAGTGTTAAATCTCTTAATGCCCTTATTTTCTTCGCATTCTCTTTGTAGAGGAGAATATGTATATGTGTGTGCATATATATACACATAAAATATGTATGAAAATATATATTCATCCATTCAATTATTTATAACTATGGCATAAATACCACACTCACATACATATATATCTGTGTGTATATATATGTATATATATATGTGTGTGTGTGTGTGTGTGTGTGTGTGTGTGTGTGTGTGTGTGTGTGTGTGTGTGTGTGTGTGTGTGTGTGTGTGCACGCAACCACCCATCCAAGCAAATGATATTAAAGACAGGAAAATTATCTTATGATTACTTTACATCAGTATCATATTAAAAATATGATACTGATGTTATTACTAATTTTCGACCTTTCATAGATTAAAGACGGAATAGTTTTTGTATAGATAACAGGAATAACATACATAAGTACAAATAATAATAGTGATTAATTTAATGATTGTAGTACTGGTAATGGTGATTAGTATTAGAATGATTATAACGCTGATAATGATATGTAATGGAAACGTTAGCAAGTGACTTTAATTTCAACAAAAAGTTCAGACTATAGTAACGACAACTTCCGTAATAACATTAATAATAACACTAACGATGACGATAGCAATGATGATAAGGAAAATCTTTAAGTGCTCGTTTTCATCACATTATTTTTTTGCATTATTGTCTCTTGTCATATGACAAGAGGCAATAATGCAAAAATAAATGAGATGAAAACAAGCACTACAATCTTTATGAATGTAACAATAAAACATCGATAAGGACATTGATCCTAAAAAAGAAAACATGGAAGTACTGATGATAATGACAAATTTTCTCTGTTAAAAGAGTGATTTTTAAAATTCATTAATAATGGAGAACATAATTATTAATGATCATAAGAAATGATACCAAATTTCAAAATCGTATATCACATTCTCCTTCAAAAAGACAGGTAAGATTATTATTATATGAACTTACATATTTGTCATAGATAAATAAATCAATAGAAAAAATCAAATGTAAGGATAATTAACAGTTGTAAAATAATTCATGAAATAGAGTCTAAAGATAGGAGATGCAAAGATACTAAGAATCCAAACAAGGTTATATGCGAGCAGTAAAGATCCGATTCGCACTGAAACGGACCAAATAATAAAGAATAAAGACGTCTTGTGTAAACCTTAAAGGACAATAAAACGGCACCGGGTTCAAGAGCATCACCCGGGACAGGAAAGGAACCCCCGCCCTTCGTGCTCAAGACGTGTCCTCGTCAGAAGGTCACGTCGGCGATGTATATATGGTCGTCCAAGCAACTCGCCAGCATCAGTTGCTCACCTGACTCTCGCAAGCATGAAGGTTCTGGTGGGTCTCTCTTGCAAATAAAATTCTATTACTTGTTTGGGTGATTAGATTCTACGCTGCATAAGAGCATAATTGTGATAAGGAGGAAAACCAAATCTAGTTGATGAAATCGTATTGTTACTGATTCTCTTCGCTTATGTTGCAGTAAAACATTTTGCAAGTTCTGACGCTTCTATTGCAGTCGTGTTGCAATAAACATCTTGTACTTAGTTCTGACGCTGTGTAAGGAATCTGACAATACAAAACAGTGTCATTTCGTAATACAAATGTTGCAGGTTCTCTTCGCTCTGGGTCTGGTCGCCCTGGCCGCCGCCATGCCCTCCGACATCATCGACTTCGAGGAGGACCACATGGAGCACGAGCAGGAGGGCATCCCTGGAACGGCCGTGAGAGGCGAGTACTCGTGGGTAGCGCCCGACGGGAACGAGTACCACGTCAAGTACGTCGCCGACCGTTTCGGTTACCGCATCGTCGACGACAACGTTGTGCCCAGAATGCGCAGCGACGCGCCGGAAGTTGAAGAGGACGATGACTAGGCAGGAATTGGAATACAGCCGGAAAGTGTTTTACTTACATGTGTTTCAAAGTAAACTTTTAACGCTGAAATAAAGATTCCTTTCTATAGCTAAACCTTTGTACTATCCTTTGTCTGAGAAAATGTGGCAGAGAGAGAGAGAGAAAAGCCACGCACACATAGTGTAAATTATGCCTAATATATTTTATGACATACACGATAATGACATCTACTATCAAGAAAATCGTTATATCTGGAAACATTGATAATATTAAAAAATATCAGTCACGATAATGGTAATAATGTTGATGTTGATAATTGTCATGATAATTCCAGTATTATCATTGCAATGGGAATGATTCATTACTACTAATGCTAATAATGATAGCGTGGTCTCGGGCTAATTGATACATGTATTTGATTTTCTTGTTATTAGTATCGATATTAGTATGTCCGAATATGTAAAAACAAAAGAATGTAGGAATATTTATATACTTTGTGGGTTTTAAATTCCCTCATGATTTGATGGTAATGGTAACCGTATGAACAATGATAACAATAATGGTAAGAACAATTATAATGATAATGATATTAATGGTAAAAGTGATAATGACGGTAATAAGAAGAACAGTAGCAATAATGATGCTGATAACTATTGTGAGTAATATTGACAAATATTGGACCAATCATTATAATATTATACTACATTTTCACATTAAGAACATTTATATCCCACACAGCCTTGAAAAAATATAAAGGTATAAAAGAAAGTGCATTTAAACGCAAGAAAGCTATTAAAGAAAGGATGTGATAATGATACTAATGATAATAGTTTTTGCAACAATAATGATAATGATCATAGTAATAATAATAATCAGAATATCACTGCTAAAAATGATAATGAGACCAGTAAGAAAAAGGTGATTATAATAATGATAATAATGATACTGATAGTATTAATGATGATAACGATAGTATCAATGATAATGATAGTATCAATGATGATAATAATGATATTGGTAAAAAATAATGATAATGAAAATAATGAATATGATAATAATAATGACATGAATTTAAATTAATTAAAATAACACTAACAAGGACGATAGTAAGGGCCATGAAGATTATGATTGTAAAAATATTAATGATTAAAAATTAACAATAATAATATAAACAAAAAATCCTTCCAAAAGTAAAATGTATATATATATATATATATATATATATATATATATATATATAATATATATATATATTATATATATATACATCCAAAAATATAAGGAAAAAAAAATTAAATTAGTAACGACAATTGTCCTACAAATTCATCTAGATTCAATATCAAATTTGTAGAAAAGAGATGAACAAACGAATATACATAAATTAAAGTAAACATTTTATCTTAAGAGCGAGTGAAAAACCTCTGAATCAAAAATCAAAATGGCACCAGGTTCAAGAGCATCAGGCAGGACGGGGAAGGAAGCCCTGCTCCTCACGGCCCCGAGGTATAAATTGCCGTCCGAGCAACAGACAAGCAGCAGTTGCTCCCATGAATCTCGCAAGCATGAAGGTTCTGGTGAGTCTCTTTTGCAAATTAAACTCTAATGCTTAGTTTGTGGAGTAGATTCGACGCTGTATAGGATGGTAACAGAGTTGTGGAGTAGACTTTTCATTGCATGCATTATGACAGGGAGGAATGTCTAATCTAGATGAAATCGTATTGTTACTGATTCTCTTCGCTTCTATTGCAGTCGGTGTTGCAATAAAACATCTTGTACTTAGTTCTGACGCTGTGTAAGGAATGTGACAGTACAAAACAGTGTCATTTCGTAATACAAATGTTGCAGGTTCTCTTCGCTCTGGGTCTGGTCGCCCTGGCCGCCGCCCGACCCTCCGACATCATCGACTTCGAGGAGGACCACATGGAGCACGAGCAGGAGGGCATCCCAGGAACGGCCGTGGAGGGCGAGTACTCGTGGGTAGCGCCCGACGGGAACGAGTACCGCGTCAAGTACGTCGCCGACCGCTTCGGTTACCGCATCGTCGACGACAACGTTGTGCCCAGAATGCGCAGCGACGCGCCGGAAGTTGAAGAGGACGATGACTAGGCAGGAATTGGAATACAGCCGGAAAGTGTTTTACTTACATGTGTTTCAAAGTAAACTTTTAACGCTGAAATAAAGATTCCTTTCTATAGCTAAACCTTTGTACTATCCTTTGTCTGAGAAAATGTGGCAGAGAGAGAGAGAGAAAAGCCACGCACACATAGTGTAAATTATGCCTAATATATTTAATGACATACACGATAATGACATCTATTATCAAGAAAATCGTTATATCTGGAAACACGATAATATTAGAAAAAAAAAAAAATAGTCACGATAATGGTAATAATGTTGATGTAGATAATTGTCATGATAATTCCAGTATTATCATTGCAATGGGAATGATTCATTACTACTAATGCTAATAATGATAGCGTGGTCTCGGGCTAATTGATACACGTATTTGATTTTCTTGTTATTAGTATCGATATTAGCACATCCGAATATGTAAAAACAAAAGAATGTAGGAATATTTATATACTTTGTGGGTTTTAAATTCCCTCAAGATTTGATGGTAATGGTAACCGTATGAACAATGATAACAATAATGGTAAGAACAATTATAATGATAATGATATTAATGGTAAAAGTGATAATGACGGTAATGATAAGAACAGTAGCAATAATGATGCTGATAACTATTGTGAGTAATATTGACAAATATTGGACCAATCATTATATTATTACACTACATTTTCACATTAAGAACATTTATATCCCACACAGCCTTAGAGAAAATATGAAGGTATAAAAAGAAAGTGCATTTAAACGCAAGAAAGCTATTAAAGAAAGGATGATGATAATGATACTAATGATAATAGTTGTTGCATCACCAATAGTTATAACAATAATGATAATGATCATAGTAATAATAATAATCATAATATCATTGCTAAAAATGATAATAAGACCAGTAAGAAAAGTGATTACAATAATGATAATAATGATACTGATAGTATCAATGATAACGATAATAATGATAATGATAGTATCAATGATGATAATGATAGTATCAATAATGATAATGATAGTATCAATGATGATAATGATAATGATGGTAAAAAAATAATAATGGTAATAAAAATAATGACTATGATAATAATAATGACAAATTTAAATTAATTAAAATAACACCAACAATAACAACATTGGTGTTAGTCAAACCGCTGATATCATTATAGATCATAATCAAAGTACAATAAAGCCAAAAATAACGATAATTATCATTTTTATAAGGACGATAGTAAGGGCCATGAAGATTATGATTGTAAAAATATTAATGATTAAAAATTAACAATAATAATGTAAAAAATCCTTCCAAAAATATAAGAAAAAATAATATCAAATTAGTAACGACACTTGTCCTACAAATTCATCTAGATTCAATATCAAATTTGTAGGAGAGAGATGAACAAACGAATAACATACATAAAGTAAACATTTTATCTTAAGAGCGCGTGGAATCAAAATCTGAATCAAAAATCAATCAAAATGGCACCAGGTTCAAGAGCATCAGGCAGGACGGGGAAGGAACCGCTGCTCCTCACGGCCCCGAGGTATAAATTGCCGTCCGAGCAACAGACAAGCAGCAGTTGCTCCCATGAATCTCGCAAGCATGAAGGTTCTGGTGAGTCTCTCTTGCAAATTAAATTCTAATGCTTAGTTTGTGGCATAGATTCGACGCTGTATAGGATGGTAACAGCGATGTGGAACAGCATATTTGGATTTTTAAACTTTAGCTTCAATTCTGTAGACTTCCATTGCAGGCATTGTGACAGGGAGGAATGCTAATCTAGATGAAATCGTATTGTTACTGATTGTCCACTTCTATTGCAGTCGGGGTTGCAATAAAACATCTTGTACTTAGTTCTGACGCTGTGTTAGGAATCTGACAATACAAAACAGTGTCATTTCGTAATACAAATGTTGCAGGTTCTCTTCGCTTTGGGTCTGGTCGCCCTGGCCGCCGCCCGACCCTCCGACATCATCGACTTCGAGGAGGACCACATGGAGCACGAGCAGGAGGGCGTCCCAGGAACGGCCGTGGAGGGCGAGTACTCGTGGGTAGCGCCCGACGGGAACGAGTACCGCGTCAAGTACGTCGCCGACCGCTTCGGTTACCGCATCGTCGACGACAACGTTGTGCCCAGAATGCGCAGCGACGTGCCGGAGGCTGAGGAGGACGATGATTAGATGTGAAGTTGAAGGACTCGCCAAGAACGTCATGTTTGCCGCACCTTTTCAAATCTACATTAAAGAATATGTCAGATGTAATTAATAAATAATATTATTTTCGTATGAATATGTCTTGATTATCCAGGAATTCAAAGTAAAACTCAAAAGACTTTATTCCGTTAGTTACAAAGGCTATTCTTTACGCATAAATAGCGTTATTAAACAATATGGGATAAACATGAATAATATCAAACAAACATGTGAAAAAAATTACAGCAAGTAGTAATGTTTTATTTATCAATTAATCTCTATAGTATTACCTGAAGTTTAGATATCCGATGCTACTGATGTAGTACTTTGCAATATTATACACACTAACTCAAACATATTTATATGTATATTCAATCCAGTTCTGAGCGGGAAAGAAATATTTCTTATACATTCCAAGTCTCGAATCCAAGGATATGAATTTGTTGCGCCTCTGATTCCGTAAATGTTTGGCATCTGGAGAGTTATTTTTTTTTTTTTTTTTTTTTTTTTTTTATAGCTATGGTAATGTCCAACATGGATAAGCTCCCTGCGTGATTTTTGAATGGGTATACATGTGCCATTCCTACATTTTTAGTTGACTTTCAACTATCAGTTTGTGTTAGGGAATATTTGCTTACATACATGAACATGTGTATGTATATCCATTATCACATATTCATGAGGTAACATGGACCCGCCCACAGCACAAGGAGCAAAGGTTCTGTTCGTGTTCCGTTTGCTGCTTCTGAATCTGATTTATTTTTCTTGTTACGTCAGTGTGCAATGTTCCTTTGTTATCT